GACCAGGGAAAAGGAAGTCTGATGCAGAGCCTTCTAAAGCAGATGAGGTCTGGAACAGTAGAGCAGTTTCACCGCAGAAAATGAAGACAAATGATCCAATTGGGTGAATTAAATTCTACTTATTGAAAGTCTGTAAAATTAGTAGCTTGTCTTAGCTGAATGCTTCACCGAGAAAAATATGTAAAGCAGAAGGAAAATGGGCTAGACTTCTTAGCAACTGAGTAGTAGTATCATCATTTTGTGCATACTTTGACCCTCCCTTCATTTTTGTCAGACTGCTAACAAAAAAGAGTAGCCCCTATGACTGAGTTCTGCTCTTTGGTGTTACTGACTTGTGTCACTCTTTATTGCTGAAAGTGTTGCGAGATGTAAGGAGCGCGACTGTATTCCAACTTACTCAGAGATGAACTGGTTTATCAACTTCTGTGCTGCTACGTCTTCTGTATCTAAGAACACAGCTTTGCCATGTGCCTCTGCAGATGTATTTGCTTTTCTCCACAGGCTGCTGATTCGCACTGCCCTGCTCCCACATTGCCATCTCCATGCTTTAAACAGTATGGCATTCTGCAGTCAACATCCATTTGAGGGCAGAGCGCATGATAAATATCCATCACTGGTAATGCTTGTGTCTCCTGAACCTAGATGCTACCTTCCTAGTATTGGTCAGACAGGTCTGTTACTGCTCTTCTTGAGGGTTATTCAAGTAAGTTATAGCTGTTTGGATATCGGCAGCACTTCTGTGAACTTGCTAAGGGCTTCCTGACATGTCTTCTAATGTTTGTTATTCCTCAAGAAAGCCACTGGCTTTAGGGTGGTTAAACATGCCAATTAGGAAACTGCTAGCTTTCATATCTAGAACTGTGGTACAACTTGGCAGCTTCTGTTCTAGCCCTAGCATACAAAATGCTGTGCTCAGCACAATGTACTATCCCTTGGTGCTTAGAAAGCTCAGGTCTCAGCCCATGGCTGCTTTCATTGCATCTCCTTTTTTTTTCTGGCTATCTTTATTCAACTTTAATGTGTGCCACTTCTAGTGTGTGTTGTATAACTCTTTCTGCTTGGATATGTACATGTTCTACTCTGCCTCATTTCTCAGTCTTTGATCTTAGAGTTTTCTCTCTCCCTCTTCTGCAAACCTGGAACTGTCCTAGACTTGCATTTCCTTTTTCCTGTGACTGCAAATCCTCCTTTCTCTCCTCGATCCCATCTCCACATTGCCTGGGTGGCATCCTGCTAAGTATCTACATCCATGTCTTTTTCAGCTCTTGCCTTGACAGAAGCAGCTTCCAGTCATGCATCTCCTATGGCTGACTGGGTGCTAGCAGAAGATAATACTGCAAAGGCCTATACCCCAGATCTTCAAACACTGACCTGTGGGATGGCAAAAGACTTACAGAGTTAGGTCATTGGAGTCTTTCACATAAATACTGTAGGTTCTCTCCAGCTTTGATCATCCCATGCTTTCCTCTGCAAAGGTTGAAAAGATGTGAGCAGGGCTTCTTCTATCCTTTTCCTTAGGAGAATATTCTGTGCCTAGTAGATCTGACTTGGGCATTCTTTCCTAAATCAGTCATTTCTCTGATTTGCTATTATTGCCAGCTATATGCTATGACGTGATACTTTCCACGAAGAATCAGTTAAACCCACTCTTTTTAACAGCAGGGAAAAATCTCTTTATTATATGGTGAGAAAGCTAAAACAGTTGTCCTGCTCTTTCATTATGCTTGACAGGAATGCTTATGTTCAGGGGTTTTTCCTCCTGAATGATCTCCAGGCCCAGGAAAATCTGAGATCAATTTGTGGTTCCCATGAAGCCCTAACTAGTAATGACATCATGTTACAACAGAATGCTATTCAGCACTTGGTGCTGAGAGAAGGGATTTTGTGTGTGTGGTTTGGGGGCCTCATTTCCAAGGGACTGGAAGTAAACCCCACAAAACAAAACTTTTGGGGTTTTCTGCAGTGGACTATGGTGAGAATCTGTAGAATTTAGACATTAAATTTGTTCACAGCTTTGAAGCAATCTCTCATGATTTGTTTCAGAAGGCTGCACAGCAGAAAAAGAAAGGTGTAGCTAGTTTCTGTGGCCCTTTGAGGGAGAGGAGTCGAGGGAAACAGAATAACAGCTGGGTCTGGGTGGGAAAGCTGCATCTTTGCTCACAAAGGGGTATCTGCAAAATCTCAGGAGACAAGAGATAGGGAAGAAGTCCCTCCTCCATAGGGCAACATACTTTCCTCCCAGCTTCCTTTGCTCTTACTGCAAGTTAAATGTAGTAAGTTAGTTCCGAATAGATTGAAAAAAACCAAAAACCAAACAAACCCCCAAACAAATTACAGTTTGGGAATGAGCAATAGAGATAACTCCCTTATTTTATTTAATTCATATGAGAGGAAGAATTGTAGACTGAATCTTGAAATCTGTATCTTATATTGCTTGATATCAGTGATGAATTTGCTTGAAGAGACACGAGCTAGCAATAGAGTGGCCTTTCATATAGGTATAAGTATGTTTTTAAACTAAAAGAGGGTAGGTTTAGGCTATATAGAAGGAAGACATTTTTGACCATGAAGGTGGTGAAACCCTGGCCCAAGTTGCCCACAGAGGTGGTAGATGCCCCATCCCTGGGAACATTCCAGGTCAGGTTGGACGGGGCTCTGAGCAACCTGATTGAGTTGAAGATGTCCCTGCTCACTGCAGGGGGATTGGACTAGATGACCTTTAAAAGTCCCTTCCAACCTAAACCATTCTATGATTATATGAATATGTATTTCTGATGGTGGTGTGGTTTTGTTTTGGTTTTTAGTAACCAAGGCCTCATGTTCCTGAGCATGAAGGACACCTTCCTGTAGCTGTGCTGCCAATGGTAGGGCATGAATCTAATGGTAGGGATACTTCAAAGTTTTGGGAGACATTTAGAACGTACAACATTGTTTCACAGAAACAGTTAATTTTCATTGTAAGCCAGGACTGTATGACTTTCATAAATGTGATTATAATGGAAATAGCAGAGGAGCCAAAAACCTAGTATGATTCTTTAGGAGTGGAGTCCTCTGTTACTTCAAAGAGTATTATCTGGGGCAACACTCTTATCTGGGTTCAGATGTGCTGTTACTATGGTTACGTATTGGCCAAATGGTTTCCAGTTATCACAGTACCTAATTTAGCACTTAAATAATGTCTTTTTCTTTGGCTTGTGCAATGAATAACACAACTGCTTAGTAAGCCACATATGGTGGCATTTTGTGTTTGAATCCTGTGATATGAAATTCTAAGTATTTAACCAAGTATGTATCACCTCCTGTACAGATTGACATCTACCATTAATGCCAAAATTTAGTTTGTCACATTCAATAAGCCAACCAGTAAATTTAGGTTTCTAACTTTACACTTTATCATTCCACCTGTGTTTGTTCAGCTCCTTCCTTCCTGTTATCATTGCCTACGAGGTGTTCATTTCTTAAGTCCAAAATTTTTGCTTGGTTGACAGCATAGAAATTTTACAGCAAATGGTCTTGTTTCTTTTAAAAACTACCTGACGACTTTAAAGTAAATGTTTGGACTTCAGTTTTGACCTCTAAATGTCAATGCAATTAAGCATTACAATTTTATTTATTTATTTTTAAGTCTTAGTTTTGAGACTTAATCAGCCTGAAAACAAGCTCTTTCTATTTATGTCTGCAGGGTAGGAAAGAAGGGATATTTTTAAAAATAAAAGTACAGGAAAACAAATGGGTTTACAACACATCCTCTCACTCTATGTGTTAACAGATTTGCTCTAGTAGCTTCAAAATTAACCTTGCCAATGCTGAGCTAACAAATCAGATAATGGAGTCAAAGCAAAATACACTTGAAAGCCCTTGAGTGAAGCCAGTGTTCAGGCACACAAAATGCCAAAACATTAGTTTCAAATGGAGGAAATATTTTATTTCTCTCCTATCAAGATAGCCTACCCTGTTATGTGCTATATTCGAAGAAGAGAATGGGTTTAATTTTAGGTATCATTTGAGTCACATGGATAAAACCTGATAATTTAAATTTAAAGGGCATTTTTGAAGTGGTAGACTAAATCAGAAATCGTCAACACAAGATCCTGAAGCTGAAGATGGCTGGTTCAACTCTCTGTCAGGACAGTTGTACTCAAAGTGAGGGTTTTGTGATGTGTAATCAACACCACATACGAAGGCATGTGAGGATCTCAGTCCTGCCTTTACAGAGCAGATGTCCTCAGCTCCACAGAAGCTCAGCTCCCCTCCTCTGTCTCCAGTGGTCAGAGATGGGGACTCGAAGGCTGGGGCTGACACTCGGTCAGGTTCTGTGGTCCACTTCTCTTAGCTGATCCCTCTCCTTGAGAAAGCATTCTACACTTAATAGTCCCTGTAGAAACTGACTCTTGGCATCCTCTTCAACACCTTCCTGAAAATATTTCCACCCATGCTTCAAATGCAGCTGTCCTGGGATAGGTATCTCGTGGTATGAAGCACGTAAAGTGAGCAAAACTATTTCCCAAACTTCTCGTACGGAAAGATCAATGTCAGCTCTCTGAAATTTTCATGCACGCAGCATCAGCACAGTTATCAAGCTTCTAGTTGAAAACTGTGCAAGCTGCTGGAGATTACTGTGGCCAAAAAGATGATCAGTAATCCAGATCACAGCCTGGAGACTGATACAGTGCCTATTGTAACTGCAGGGGAATGAGAAATGCCATTGCATAATTAATAATTGCAATGGATCATGATACTACATTTCATTTGAAAGTTGTAAACTTAAAGCTCCTAGTCGGGGAGTCTAGAAGCTCTTTTGTATCTAACTCATCCAGTGATGATGAGTGATTCTCTTCCAGGTATTGACCAACCTAGTATTAAATCAGGGCAAACCAGAGAATTTGTCCTTTAAAAAAATTGTGAAAACCAGCTTTATGACCACACTTCTTACATTTTTCTTCTTCTCAAAAGCAGCTGTGCTGTTTGAGGGGTCAGTGTTTCCTCTGAAAGCCTACCAGATGGATTTCCAGAGCTGGCTTGCTTTCCCAATAGGAGTATTTCTGTGCTGTGCTCTTCAGACATCTGCCATTCAACAACCTGCACCTCACAACTGCGCCAGCGATAGTCAAAGCATATCCTTCAGCCACTCCTACAAGATTGACCTGCCCACATCCTCCCAGATTAAGGTGGAGGCTGATCCATTACAGGATGAAGACAACAGTGAGGTCCAGCTAGATCCTGGAGAGGCTGAGGAAAATGAAGAGCAGGATATCATCTTTAGGCACAACATCCATGTGCACACACCCAAAGGGGACTGTGAAACTTTGACCCACATTAAGGGTCTGCTTGAGAGGATGGAGAAGCTGGAGAAAGAAGTGGCAGAGCTGAGAGAAGTTTGCGGCCCTCAGGAGTGCTGCAGGGGGAGCCAAGGTAAGTAACAATTGCAGTATCTGTTCTTGCATCTCAGATACAGCCTATTTACTGCAGAGATTTGGGGACTGGAAGTCATTTGTCAAGGTTATTGGGGGTTCTCCGTGTGCTAAATGCTGGAATCCTACAGATGGGACAGTGCTCTGGGTTCTGTAATGTGAAAGGAAATCTGAAGATCCCAAAATGAAGTAGTACATACCATTTCTGGGAAGAGCACAGGGGAAATCTCCCCAGGTATCTCCCAGAAGTGGAAGGGAACAGTTCCCAAGTTTCACTTGGGTGGGAGGATTCAGTGGAAGAATTTCTGGGGGAGGGTGGAAGATGAGGGAAGCACTTCTTGTTGCTGACTTTTCCTTTCACATTTTTGCCTCCAGAATATTGCAGTTGTTGAGAATTTGTCTTTTTATTTTCTCCTTAATAACTGACTAAAAGAAGAGCAGAGTTTATGATGATGACGTTTTGTGGTGGTCATTGGCTCTGCCTGTGATCAAAGGTTTATACAGCATGGTCTCTTAGAAAAGATTTGGCAAACTGATGTTGTTTGGGGAATGGAGACAAGAAGTGCCAAGTCTTTGCTTGCATGAAAAATAAAGGTGTATAGCAGATGAGAATATAACAACCATGGTGAGAAATGCTGAGCTTAAATTACAGGTGGGAAGGTTCAGGTTAGCGGCTGTGAAAAGCTTTATAATTGACTCTCTGGGCTGGTTGTGGAATTCGCATTCCCACTGACTACGGACAAATGCATTGGGAAAGGCAAGGCCCTCCTTGGGCCAGGGGCAGATGGACAAGGTGATATTTTCAGGTCTTTTTCAGCCCATATTTTCCAGTGATAGTTATGCTTTCCCTTTAATGACCTTGAACATGCCTTTGCACTACCTGACCATTGCTATATTCCTAATTTTTTTTTTTTCATCTTTATTTTCTTTCATCTGTATGTCATACTTGCTGTTGTACACCCTGGTGCTGCCCTGGCCAGGTGTCTTGCATTGCAGCGGCCATGGGACTTTCCTCTATGAGACTTGCAGCTGTAAGTGTGCCGAGGGCTGGGAGGGCAGTGACTGCTCCCACCCCACCTGCCCCGGCCACTGCCGTGGCCACGGGCGCTGCGACGGCGGGAAGTGTATCTGTGATGAGCCTTATTTTGGTGAGGACTGCAGTCAGCAGCTCTGTCCTGAGAACTGCAGCGGCAATGGGATCTGTGACACAGCCAAAGGGATCTGCCAGTGCTATGAAGAATTCATTGGAGAGGACTGCAGCGAGAAACGATGTCCCGGGGACTGCAGTGGCAATGGGTTCTGTGACACAGGAGAGTGCTACTGCCACGATGGCTTCTTTGGCCTTGACTGCTCCCAGGGTGAGACATACTTGTGAGTTATTTCTCCCTTCTTTCTTTCTTTCTGCATTTCCCCCTCTACCTCCCATAAACACTTGGTTAATCCTGTAGGCAAGCCAATCTTGGGGTCACCATGCACCTCCCCTCAGGGGTCCTGCTGGACTGGGGATTGCTGACTGGCCCTTGTCTTCAAAAATTGCCTGGAAAATATTTCTGAATTGGGGAAAGGTGGAAACACAGTTAAAGGTAGCACTAGCACAAGCCTCTCTGTAGCAACTGAAGGAGAGAGCAAAACTGGGTATGGAGCCTGTAATTAAAGAGGGAGCCAGAGTCAGTCTCTTGACACACAAATGAGACAATAGAAAGTAAAACTATGTTTGCTGCAGTGTGCACTGCTTGCCAGTAAGGTAGTTGATTTGATAACACCTGTGAGGCAAGGGTACATAAATCCTTTAATAACCTCCCTTTGAAGTGAGGTCTTTGGGAAACTCTCCTGTATCCTACTTTGTTACAAGGCAGTAGGATTTGTGTGAGAAGACCTGACTGAGCTGACCTTGAGGTGTGTGTTCAGAAGTTTCTGCTTAATTCTGAAAAACCTATAATCTCTCTATAACCACAAGCTGATACTCCAGGCTTCAGCACTCAGCCTTTTACCCTGGAAGCAACCTTTCCTTCTCAGCACATCACTGCTTGGTCTAATCTTTCACAGATCCTCATGAAGGAGATGTAGGTAACAGGCGCACGCTGAGCACCAGGTATTGCTCAGTAAGGGTTTGCAGTGACCTTACTGGCAGGTCTTTTCTGCTCTGGATCATCCCTCACCTCTCAGGCTTGATTTATCTGCTTAGAGACTCACCTTTATTGTAAAAGATTATTAGCTCAAATTCTCGATCCAAACAAGAGCTCTGCATCAAAATTTCGCTCTTCCTACCCCTTCCACACTATTTAGAGATGTTTCTCTGTGGCTCCAGCACTCTTCTCTCCTGTCAGCAAACCGGGATTTGCTGCTCAGGAGGCAGCATCTTTACAGGGGTGGCAAGCAGAAGAGTTCCTCCCAGAGCAGAAACAATTTTCCCAGAGAACTGTTGCCCAGCCAGTCTCTCCCAAACGGCTGGCTGGATCCACCCTTGGATCCTCTTCCTTAGACATCTGCAGCTGTTTTACAGGCTGTGAAAGCGGCCTCTGCTCTCTGAGTATCTGAGCGAGAAAGCACTGCAGAGTGAATGCATATTGCACAATCCGTTTTGCTACTGTTTCTGAGCACTACACCTCCACTCCAGCTTAACTATTTTGAAGTCCAAAGGCAGATGGTTCCTATCTCAGCATCTGTGGCCAAGCACTCCTCTCCCATAGTTGTCAAATTGCTTTTTCTTTTCCGGTTTGTATTAGAATTCTTCATTCTGGGAGATTTACACTGAGCACTGTTTTTATTTATTATTATTATTACTACGGATTTCACGTGACTTATCATGAAATGACATATTTGGTTGTATATTGCCATGGTAACTGGAATGTCTGAACATATAGAAGTTACTATTGAGTATGCAACAGTATAATTAATGTCTCGCGATTTGTTGTGAAGGAGAACTAGAGGATAAAGACACACTGAACAGCAGTCATTTGCCTGTGCTCTTTCTGGACTTAGTTTACTAGCACTCCAAAATAGCACTGTGGGATATCTGAAGGTGAATAAACCAGCAGTTTAAAATAAGAGTATCCACAAAAACAGTTGTTTGGTATCTCAGCACAAAATCAGTTTAACCAGGAAGTCTGTGTGGTGATGCTGTTAATCAGGAAATGGGAAAGGAAAACAAAGGGGGACTCTGCTGTTCCCAGGGGAGCCAGGGTTCCCCACAAGCCCCTGTGTGAGCTCTCAGCCCAGTGCTGGATCTACAGCCGTGAGGCTCGTTTCTTGCTTGCTTCGGCCATCAGGGCCCCAGCCTGCTTCCAGAGGAGAAGCTGCCCCATGGAGAGAGATGGATGGGAGCCAGCAGAACACGAGATGGCCCACAACCACCCGTCCTCCTAATCCACTTCAGCTGTTAGTGCCGTGCCTGTGTGAGCCCTTTCGCTTCAGGCTAGGAGCTCCTCTGCTGTCGGAGAGCAAGAGGAGGAGGTTTTCAAGGGTTACCACGTCCAGGCAGCGCCTCCTTCCCCTTCACAGGGCCGCTTCCCCCGGCCCTGACCAGGAACATCTTGGTCAAGTCCTGAAGCGCTTGGGCTTGTCACATTGGCTGGAGAAGCTGGCTGCGGTGCATCTTGGGGCAGAGCAAAAAACCATGTTGCAGAAATAGATCCCCCTGGGCTAGAGAGCCTTTGCAAGAACCCCTTGCCAAAATGTCCTGCTCGGGAACACAAACTGTCCTATGCATTGTCCTGAACAGATGATACCGGTTTCTTATACCACATGTCTTCAGAGAGGCAGATACAATCCTCTTATGAATGATGCTTAGACAAGGGATAAACCACACCATATGTAGTTAGGTTCTTCATTATCTTACTGCAAAGCTGGATTATTCAAATCCAGTTTCTGTATCACAAGGAGAGGCAGGATAAATGTTCTCACATTTTGTACAAAGTTTTCATCGAAAGCAATGGCGCGCACATATTGAGGGTAGAATTTGGTGAGAGCTGTGAATTACACAAGGAAATGAATGTTGCCTTTCAAGAGAGAATCTCATGATGTTATCTGACCTAATGTTGCTGATGCATACCTTTTTACAGGCACTTGCCATCTATGTTTTGCCATTGGTTAGTGCCTTGCTAATGAAATACAGCTGGTAGATGGTGTGATTAGTTCATGAAATGCTTACTTGTAATTAAAATCAGGTAAACTTCCTGATTCCTGACAGCTGTTCTACCTGACTTTTTTCAAGGGCTGCTTCAAGGCACTGATGAGCTGTCTGTCTTAGGGCAAAAAGGTTAAGGCACTGCTGGTGTTCTGAAATTTATTATGTGCCACAGATTTGCCCAGGTCTCCTTTAGGCACCAAGCATAATTTTCCATTGATATAAAAGCTCAGTTTTCTACTACTGGCAAGGAGAAGCTGTGTTCCTCAGTTCTGGGGACCAGCTGACTTTGAAATAACTCTGACAGTGATACAAAAAGAAGGTTTTGGCTTTTCTTTCTCTTCCTAGAGGCATTGGAAGGGACAGCTTTATGAGGGAATTTTTCTCATGCTAGTGTGGGTAGCTGGAAAGAAGAGTCCAGGAAATTATTGTGTTTGTTACTGACTGCAATATTCATTTGTATTTATGTTGTTGGGCACAAAGAAACGGACAAATACAAGATGACCACAGTTCCAGTTCTGCATTCTCTCTGTATTCAAAATAAGTTTGAAAAAAATTCTGGCTTGGCTATGTGAGCCCTGGACTAAATGCTATGACATCATCCTTATTGCAATGTTTGTCTTTGTTTCTCTTCTAGTGCTTGCTCCTCAGAACCTGCAGCTACTGAACTCCACAGAGAACTCTCTAACTGTCAGCTGGGATCAAATGATTGATGTGGATAATTACCTCATTAGCTATTATCCAGTAGGGTATGAGACGTTGGTGAAACAAGTCCATGTGCCCAAAGAGCAGCTCAGCTATGAGATTGTGGGTCTCCACCCTGGCACTACGTATAATGTCACACTTCGTCATGTGAAGAAGGGGATTGCCAGTGAGCCCAAGTATCTAGAAGCAAGTACAGGTAGGAGCTGGCAGTCTTTGTCTTCAGAGTCAGAAGTTGTAGATCTTTGAAGTTACATTCAAACAACTGGAGCTAATTGTTTGGCTTTGCAGGTTGATGCCCTCTCTGAGCACTGAACAGCACTTTTTCCTCCCAGTCTCAGCTGCATGCTGCATTTTTCTGCCATTGTTTTCTTCTGGAGAGTCTGTTTCCAGATATGTATAATTGGAGCTGAATGTATTGCAAATTTCCTGTCTCTCCCTTTATCTTGTCCAAATCTCTACTTGCACTGACACCCCTGAATTCCAGGGTGTCCATAACATTCCCTACTGCAGGAAGCAGGAATGGAAGCATGCAAGATAAGGCCAGCATGTTACTAGGAATGATGCACTGTTCGACTGGATGCAGAAGGGACATTAAAGTAGATAGAACATCATTCCTAGGTACTAATTTTCCAAATGTGCCTGCAGCAGCGAGTTTTCCTGGTAGTTTTTTTCGCAGGACTGAATAAGCCTGATTCTACTGAGTCTAGGAGGCTGAGTATGGAAAGACTGCATATTTGACACATTTTCTCTCTCTAGAACTGAAATGCCATTTTCTTATAATCTGATAGTATGCTGTCTGCCTGCACGTGGCAAAAACAGGGAAAGGTTTGGTTATTTTGACATTTTTCTTATTTCTAGCACAAGAGGTGGGAGCTGAGAGCCAGAAAACTCTTGAGTTGGAGTGTTACCATGGATAAAACTAAGTCTGTTGAAATACTGATATTGCTGTACTTGTTTAACTCTTCAGTTGTGCTCAGGAAAAAGTCTCTGCCCTCAGAGCAGGTGACTGGGGAGCGAGGGGGGCTATTTAGCAACTTTCTATCTTATATTCACCTTTTGTTGCTGATCCTGCTTCCTCATGGCCCTCTGCTGTCTTTCCCAGACCTTTCTGCACTCAATGCCATCTGGGTGACAGAGGAGATGGAGCACTCCCTGGAAGTGGAGTGGGAGAACCCACCAACAGATGTGGATTATTACAAGGTGAAGTTCAGATCCCTGGTGGGAATGGACGAGAAGCAGATCATGGTGCCCAAAAGCAATGACCCTAAGAGCAGACACATCATGACTGGTGAGTATTTGTGGGTATTCCAAACTGGGCAGGGAGAAGTGGTTGATTGTCAGACCATAGTCCTGAGACAATTCTTCTGTTGTGTATGAATGGCCAGTTTTCCTTGACCTCGTGCCTGCCGTAGGCCAGGGTGAGATCTATTTGGATTCCCTATCCCATGGTAATGGATGTGTCCACAAGGAGAAAGCTTCTGTGGCCTGTGGATGGCAAGTTTCAAGGCATATTCATTCAGCTTTAATTCTGTCCTTGTTAAGACTAAAGTATTTTCTGTTTCAGAGCTGGTAACACTCATGTTACAGAAATCCTCACTTGCTGTGTATGTCAATGTATGCCCTAGTGGCAAGCCTGAACCAAAAGTGCTACTCAAGACAAAAGGAAGTTAGGTAGAAATCTAAGCTTTAAGTTCCTTTCTGCTACAAACCAAGAACTGGGTGGACTAAATAAAATGGCTTTCTTTGAGGAAAAATTGCTCTCTTTCCTAATTGTTTATAATGCTCCCTTTTGGTCTTTGTAGGCCTGAAACCTGGCACAGAATATGAAGTCACTGTCATACCTGTGAAAGACAATACAGAGGGGAAACCATTCTCAGCGAGTGGCAGGACCGGTACGTGGAAAGTTTCTTTTATGATAGTGATGTTATTACAGCATTTGGGGACAGATCTGTCAAGATCACAGCACAAAAAGTGCACAGTTGCTTCTTCATGCATGACCTGCAGTTAGGCCTGCTTATATCTTCTTTAAGCTTGTCTACACTATATATTAAACACTAAACCTCAGTCTTTTGCCTTGGTTTTAAGCCAACAGTAACTTCAGCTTTAACTTGACTAACAGCTCCAGCCGAGCACAGATAAGCGTAGTAAGCTGGCCTCTGTGTGTAATAACAGCCCTCAAATGAGCTCAGAGCTAGGTCCGGCAGTAACTCAAAGTTTGCTGGTTCATGACTTCCCTGACTAGATCATTGACAGGATGATCTTGCTTAAACCTAGCACACATGATTTGTGATCTTCCTCGCAGATCCTCTGGGCAGCTGCCGCTGACTGCGTCGTAGCTATTAGCTGCTGCTGAGTTCGTCTGGTCTCTGAGCCCAGGAGCAATAAGGAAGAGGACAAGTTCTTCTTCCTTCCTGTATTGCCTGGCTCCAGCATTATTTTTATGTTCACCAGGCTGAGCACAACAGTTGGACTGATTAGCACACCGTTGCCAGGCCTGCATTTCCACTGGGGGCTATAGTCCTAGTCCCCACACCTGCCCCCATGGAGGTGAAGTTGTGCATATCTGCTGGGCTGCACAGTCGCACAGCCCTGGCATTTCTGTGGTAGCTTGAGTCTTCGCCTCTGACATGTGAAGTGACTGAAGAGACTTCAGCTACTTGCTGGCCCTTAGAGGTTGAAGTTTTGGACTGCTTTATCTCGTAACAGAGCCTGAGTCAGACGTAGTCATCTCTAGCATGGAGAGAGTACAGAAGCATCTTTAAGCTGTCTTCCGCTCCAAGTGCGTGCTCAGTACTGGCAGATGCTACTGTTCCTTGACTGTTATTTTTCCTGTAAGTGGCAGCCTAGCCATTCCAGACCTAAATGTTAAAGCAGATCTGGAAACCCTGTTGGTTCACTGATGCTTCAAGCTCTTCAAAAACACGGCAGAATATTTCTGAGCTAACCTTGAAAAAGAGACCTTGAAGAATTTTGAACTCCCATTCTACCTGTAAGATTCTGCAAACTCTGAAATTCAGGTCTCTTACAAAAGGGTAGGCGTGCTGTGTCCAAAGACTGAAAAATCCCAAATCAGGCCTGATATTTCTGAGGTTGTCTTGTAAATTATTCCATTAAAAAATGAAATTGATTTAAACCAACAAAACCTACAAACTCTATGCTGCCATTGCAAGGCTGCTCTTCTTCCTTGCATAGATTCTGATTATTTGGTACACCCTTGGCTTGTGTTTTCAAGCTGTTCCTCACAGACCTGGAGGCTGCAAAGCTTCTTAGAAAGGAAAAACAAATCCGCAGTGAGTCATCCTGCTCATTCTTCTTTAACCCCTGGAATTTTAGAGCTTCGACTAAGACAAATACCAGCTATTCCAAGAGCTACCACTAAACTCTGATTCATCACCTAAAATAGCTGAAGCCTTGGGGGAGTCTGAGAGACAGGCCTGCAGGGTAGGCAAAAAGGGAGGAACAACAAATGGCTGACACTGGAGGCAGAGGAAGGATGGGGCCTATACTTGGTGCCATGAAGAGGGCAAGCGAGAAGGTAATGCTCAAGTTGGTACCCACAGAAGGTGATGGAGGTAGCCTGCAAAGCTTTTGCTGCAGGAAAAAAAAGTAGTTTCATCTAAATGTCTGTAGTTTCATCTAAAAGTCCTGCTTTCTCCCCACTCTGACCATGCTGGTTTCTCATGGATGTGTTTGTTTCTTGAGGTGCTGTAGAGGGCGATGTGGGTGACTGTTTTAGCTGGCCAAAGCAGTAAGACAAAATGAAGGAAAAGTGCACATGCCGTGACAGGTGTTGTAGTGGTTTAATTCAGATGGAGTTTTCTAATCCTGCACTTTAACATGTTCTCTCAGGACTTGATAGCCCAACCAATGTGGCAACTGACCGAGTGACAGAGGATACAGCCACTGTCTTATGGAATAAAGTTGAGGCTCCCATAGACAGGTACATGGTGAGATACACCTCAGCTGATGGGGACATCAAGGAAATAGAGGTGGGGAGTGAAAATGACATCATCACCTTACTGGATCTGAAGCCAGGCATGGAATACATCATCCACATCTGGGCAGAGAAGGGACTACAGCGGAGCAAGGAGGCAAGCACTAGAGCTGTGACAGGTAAGTTGTAGCAGCAGCAGTGGAGGGAGATGAATTTGAATTTCAAACTCCTCCATCAATTTTACTAGTTTCAGTAAAGCTTCTCCTGCTTTGCACAAGTTTTTAGTGAGGCAAAAAGTTCACGTCATTCTTGCTAGTGTGGCTGAACAGGTCTCCAGCTCAGCTTGAAAGCTCTGTTTTGAGTCCTGTTATGGACAAGTCCTGTGGCAAGGCACCAGTTACTATCAGTACAGAGAACAGTGAAACACAGCCAAAACTAAAGCCTTATAGCTGGAACACGTAATTCATGCCTAGCCTTTAAAATGCCGTAAACCACCCCCAAGCTTTTCTTTGGGTTACTGTTGTGGCTTTTCCCAACAGGACACGGGGCTCATACATATTTTGGACAGACAGTCATGACAGAGTGTTTGTTAAAAAGGAAAAACAAACTTATTTGGTTCATGGCATAAGGTAAGAATCATGTGGAGAATCAAATCTCCCAACAGGACGTTTGGTCACTGTCCCGTGGTGGCCGGGAGTCTCCACTGGAAGGGTGCTTGCAGCAGGGTCTGCAGCTAGATTGGGAAAGAACTCGACCCACTGTTTTGCTCAGTTCTTATAATCCAGCCAGCCATGGTCCAATGTGGCTATGTGTACAGAGGCAGTTTCTGCTGACGATTTACAAATGTCTTATCTATGTGCAGTCTGTACTTCTGCAGCAGGA